GCCGCAGACCCCTTTGGCCTCCTCGGCGAGCGCGGGGCCGTCGCCGCGGGCGGCCTCGGTGCCCTGCTCCGCCTCCCATTCCTGCAGCACCTCCTCCAGGTTGAAGCGGCGTCTGTAGTTGACGAAGAAGTTCTTCACTTGGCCGACGGTCTTGTTGCCGATCACGTCTGCGATGGCTTGGAAATCTTTACCGTACTTGCGCACACCTGGAAGCAAAGCGAGGACGCGCCTGAGCGGGCGTGGGGGGCCCCGGCGGCCCGGCCGCTCAGCTGCCTCCTGCAGTCCTCTCTGGAGCCGCCACTGCAAACAAGCCCCGAGTTCTGAGCCCCGGTTCTCGGCTCCGCCCTCCAGGCCACCTGCACGGACGGCCCCAGTGGCCAGACTGGAGGAGGGGGCGCCGCGCCTGGCTCCCGGGCATCCGAAGGGCATCTCGGAACGATCGGGGCTGGGCACGGACCGCTGGGCTTAGGGGACCGGTCACGCCACGGCGCGGACGACCCCCACAGAGACCCCGTGATGGAGCGGACGACCCCCCGCTCTGTGGGTTCTGGGGGTCCTCAACGTCCACGGACTCGCTCGGGACGCACCTGCCGCAAAACGGAAAAGTGGTCAACGTGTCACCGTCGGGTGCCTGGAAACCACGGACCGGTCACTCGTGAGTACAGCGAGCGGGAGGAGGAGGAAAACACGGAGGCTTTGCTTTTCTGGTCTGCCAGCTAACCTGGGGGCGCGGGGGACACACAGGTCGCACGAGGCGTCCTGTGGCCCCCCCGCGAGTACCCTGCCACGGGGGTCTTCCCTGAATCCCGCCTGTTTCACACGGAGGCTTGGAAACGCGTCCCTCTGGCTCGACCGGCTGCCCGGACCGCGTGGGGCCCTGGTGCCCGGCCGGCGTGGACGGCGCTGGGCCCGGTGAGGGCGTTTAACGGACGTCCGGAGGTGCCTGGCCCGCGAATGCTGAGTCTGGAAGTGAAACCTCCTCCACCGGGGTGCGGGGCCCTCTGCTTCCCAGCGGGAAGCCACCTCGGGGCGGAGCCTCCTGCCGCCTGGACACACCACATCCTCGCCCCTGCACAGAGGCTTCCGGAGCGGCTGTCCCTGCCCGGCCACTCGGTGGCTCGGCTCGCCCCATCTGCTGTCGCTCTGGGCGCCCGCGTCCCCCCACAGTGATCTCTCCCAGGGCAGGCCTGGCGGGGTCCCGCGGAAGCAGCCTGTGTGCCTGTGCCAGCGCGTGGTGACCACGGTCATGAGCCTGGCTGCTGGCGGGGGGGGGGGGCACCCCAGCACTGGCTTGCGCTGGCGGGGGGAGGGGGCGCCGGAGGCAGCCAGCCCAGCGCTAGCTCACGCTGAGGCCGGAACACTCGGGCCAGGGCCTCCCTGTGTCTTCCCTAGGCCACAGGAGCCACACGTGGCTTCCCGTCCCGTGGCAGCCCCGTGGCGGCCGGCGGGCCTGCTCCTGCCGAGAGCTGGGCCGCCCCGAGGGGCTGGCGGGGAGCTCCCGTGGGGTGCTGGGGTTGGGCCCAGGGCGGCCACACGGCGTCAGCACAAGCGAGAGGCACCGGGGGGCGGTGGTCTGTGGCCGGCACAGGTCCAGGACAGGCCATGCAGGCCGCTCTGAGCCGGGGCGGGGGCTGCCGTGAGAGCGGCTCTTTCTGCGGGCGGACAAGGCCGAGGTCCCTCTGAGCGCGAGTGTTGACTACACGCTGGCCCTCAGGGCCAGGCCGGTCTCCGGAGGTGAGTGGGGTGGGACATCGGGCGCCCTGGGCCAGGCGGGCTAGAAACTTCCCAGTGTTTCCATTAGCGTTTGTGAAGCTCGTTTGAAACAATGGAAGCCCTTGTGGGTGGGTGTGCGTGGGGGGGCCGTGGCCGTGGCGGGGGGGCCGTGGCCGTGGCGGGGGGCCACAGACACGGCAGCTCTGTGGTTCTCTCTGGGTGCTGACACTGTGGCGCTCCTTAAGACACTGTGCCAGCCCCACACTTGGGGACCCCGCGCCCCGTTTTCCAATCAGGGTTCTAGGTTAGCAACAAAAGCCAAAACCTCTCCTGGACCCCACGTCACCGGGTGTCTGGGCCACGGGGTTCCCGCCGGTGGGAGTGGGTCGCCTAGCTGCTCCGTTCGCTTTCAGAAAGGTGTTTCAGAAGCCTGAGTTTGGGGTGCGAGACGTGACGCTCAGCTCTGGGCACGGCAGGCTGCTCCCGGGTAGTGAAATGTGGGGGGATACTCCGGCCTGCTTCTCAGAAGGGGAGCTCTGAGAGGGAGCCCCTGTTTCTTCGAAGTGGGAATACCACTTCTTCAGACAGTGATTTCTGACGGGAAGGAACAGAGTGCTCCCCGGAACTGCGGCAGGGTGGGGTCCCCCTGCCAGGCGGGGATGCCGGGAAGGGGGGAAGGCCTGAGTCAGGCGCCACGTCTGGGCCAGCCACACCGGCTCCCATCTTTAGTCGTCAGCAAGCCGCTGGGTCTCGCTCCTACTGGGGCGCCCCCCGACGCCTCCCCCAGGCCCGCGGCTCCCCTTCTGCTCTAGTGGAGGCCCGCGTGCGCTCCAGGGCAAGGGCGACTTCTAACGGTGAGCAAAGCCTCCAGGACACAGCTCCGGCAACTCCCGGCGTCCGTGGCGGGTGTTCACGGGGCTAAGACAAGACTCACAGGTCAAGTCGACATGTTGACAGCGGTGGGAAGACTCTGCTGTTTACCTTAAAGCTGCAATTATTTTTAGGGGGGCTGGGCTCCTCCAAGCACCATGAGTATGAGATTACGTGGACTGGGGGGGTTTCGAAGCGCAGCTTGTCGCAGCGGCGAGGTCAGGGGCTGAAGGCCGCCACAGACGCAAAGCCACGGCAAAGCCACTGGTGGCGGATAGTCTAAAGGGATGATGTTAGCGCTGTTGCGAACACCCCACCTGGGGCAAGCGGGCGCCCCAGAGGGCGCGGCCTGGAGCCTGCCGGCCCGCCACGCTGGGTCCGGACGGCTTCGTGGGAGCTACGGCCTAGACCCTTGGCTTTACAAGCGCCACGGGGCAAAGGTCATGTACGTAGCAGGTGCAAAGAGGAGCGTCAGGGTTTCCTGGTCCCGGTCACTCTCTGCGCGTCATTTACGAGCAAGAGGAAATGCACCGAGTGGCCAGTGTCCATCTACCCGCAGGGCCTTGCGTGGGAGCATGTGACTGTCAAGGCAGACACGGGTCACCACTGCTTTGTGAAGCGCAGGGGCGTTCACGGGCTGATGCCACGCCACGCCACGCCAAGGCTGAGCGTGCCGGCCCGTGAGCATCCGAGGCCGGACCGGAGAGACCCAGTGTGTGCAGACACCGGCCCAGCTCTCAGGCCGAGCCTCGGAAAATCCGCTCTCGGGGACAAATGTTTGACCCGAGCGTGGGAAGAAGAGGCTGCCAGGGAGCAAGAACTGCGTGGTCAGCTCAAAGGCTGTGGTCGGGGGTGAGGGGCCGCCCAGTACCACGTCTTCTAGCAGGAACGGAGCTGCCCCGTTTCTAACCTGACTGAGCATCGGCGGGGGGCTGGAGTCCTGCTCTTGGGCGCCCCACCCGCCCGCCCAGTGGGACGAGAGCACCTTCCCGGCCTCCCAAGGGGGTGCCCTGGCTCTGGGGCTCCTGCTGGCTGTGGAACCAGCTCAGCATTAGTCCTGCTCCTCCCGGGCCTGGGGACACTCGCTGGACGCTGAAGCAGGGATGGTTCTGAAAACTGGCCCGTCGGGATGCGGCTCACACCGGGCCAGTGGAGTCCTGGACTCGGCCCCTGCTGGAGACGGGGCCCCGGCTTGGGCCCCAGCTGCTCTGGAAGGGACCTGGGCGGGCAGCAGAGCCGGACACTCGGGGTCCCACTCACCAGGACACGCCCTCTGGAGGCCTCGGTCCCCATCTCCAAGGCCTTCCGCTCCTGCCTCCAGGCTTCCCCGGCCGCTTCGCCTCCGCCCGGCCGCCAGCCGCCCGCCACTGTCCTGCCTCCAGCTCTGTGTCCCCCGGGCTGCTGGCCATGTGCTGGCTGTGCCGAGGCCCTGACGACGCCGTGCCGGTGCCCGGCCCTCCGGCACCTCCTGCGGAAGAGCCATGTGCCAGTGCTGCTGCTGACCAGCGCTGACCGGCGCCCAGCCATCTCGAGCTGTCCAGCTTCCGCTCCTCCTGCACTCTGCCCACCTCGCCGCAGCAGCGCCCAGGCCCTGCCGCACCAGACCTCGCCGTCCGCCATGCATCGGCGCCTCACAGATCCGCTCTCGTCAGAGGGACGCTCCGCCTCGCGCGGCGGCTGTGCCGACTACTGGACACTGCGGACAGGGCAGGGCAGGCGGCCACGCGCGGCCTCGGGGTCTCCTGCCATCCCCAGTGTCCTCTTCCGTCTCTCCCCTGTAAATCGCCCCTACGCCGTTGTACCCCAAGTCGGGGTGTCTTGCAGAAAGCATACGGGGAGGACCCACAAACTGACCTTCCCCCGCTTCAGAGGCTTCGGCGCCTCCTGGCCACCCCATGGCCTCCGAGTCTCTGCTCCACCGGCGACCAGCCAGCCACCCGACAGTGCTTCTTCAGAGCCCACCGCGGGCGGTAGGCATGGCCGAGGGCGACCCCAGGGGAGGGGGTGGTCAGCGGGGCCCTCAACAGGGCCCTCAGCAGGGCCCTCAGCAGGCTGTGGGAGGACAGGTCCAGGGACTCAGAATTTGCTTTTCCTGGAAGACTCCAGGGGACTGTGAAGGGGTTCGGTGAGGGCGGGCGTGCCAGGCTGGGACGCCCTCCAGGGGTGGCCTGGCGCCCTTGAGGGTGTTGGGAGCCGCAGATTAGACTCTGATCTGAGGGCACATCCGGGGTCCGCCAAAGGACCCCGAGGTGTCAAGGTCACGCCCAGCCGCTGGCCTCTGTGGAGGACACGGCATTAACGCGCCCGGCGCCGGGGATGCGCAGATTAGGAGAGTGTGGACAATGCTTCTAAGAGGCTTATGTGTCAGCCTCACCCTCGCCAAACACCTGTTATGTGGATTTAGATAAGGCGACTCCAGAAGGACGTCCAGGGCCCAGGCCGCCCCGCCCCCCGGGAGAAAAGCATGTTCAGAGCAGGGGGGGCCGTGTGTGCTCCACGAGGCCTCAGCGCCGTGCAAAAGCATCTGGCCAGGCGGCAGGTCAGCAGGCGACGGAGGTCAGCAGGCAGCAGGTCAGCAGGCGACGGAGGTCAGCAGGCGGCAGGTCAGCAGGCGACGGAGGTCAGCAGGCGGCAGGTCAGCAGGCGACGGAGGTCAGCAGGCGGCAGGTCAGCAGGCGGCGGAGGTCAGCAGGCG